GAACCATCCATTCATTTAGTACTATTCCATCATCTATCCCATCCATCCATTATCCATCCATCCCATCTCATCCCATCCCATCCATCTATCCATGCCATCATCTATCCCATCCATCCATTATCCATCCATCCCATCTCATCCCATCCCATCCATCTATCCATGCATCCAACCATCTATTTATCTATCTATCTATTTATTTATTTATTTATTTATTTAGCTTCGCCATTCAAACACTCACACATTACTTTATTAAAGTAACAGCAGTTCTAATAAGACGTCGCTCGATCGAGTTTATAAGAKTTTTTTTGCTGATCGGGCGCCGTGACYTTGACCTTTCTCTAATAAGAATAAATTCCTCAAAAGCTTGAAATCTGAATCTCGTTTTGAATTCTAATGAAAAGTGCTTTTTTCGATGCATCCGGCTCTACCTACGAGTCTTTTGAAAAAATCTAAATACGTTGACGATTGTACGTAAGCGTTCCTGTTCACTTCAATACATCAGCGAAAAAAGGTTTAATTCATTAAAATTTTAGTTCAGGCGTTAATTGTATATTTTTACATCAACTTGCATCTTTCCTTGATTCTTTAAATATAAATATTCCGAAGAGAAAACTATATGTGCGAGTATGCGCATGCTCAGTGGGTCCACAGAGCTAGAAAGATCCCACATGTTTCATGAGCATTTCATTTCCTCATATAAATAACCYGTGTTGTAGTCTATAGTATACAAGAGTTTCGTACTTGTTAGTGTCATGTAACGTTTGTAATTAGGTGACGTAAGACGACTGATAAACGTTTAGTTATCGATCTGCTAACATCTTAGCGAATGAGTGAGGGAGTGAGTGAYACATTTGCATATTCAGACCCCTCACATTAACTCGTTTCTACGCTTCGGGTATCCACGAGTTAAAACTTACTGACGTTTCGGACGCTAGGACTAGCGTCCGAAACGTCAGTAAGTTTTTTCATCTTTTTCACGGTGTATAATTTACCTTTTCATCATTACTGTTTCATTAGAAACACCGACGCAGCTCACACTAGTTTTTAGCTAGTYATATAGACTTAATTATGTGACTTTTTAAAAGAGGTCAATAAGGATTGGTTGACAAAGCAACCAATGAGAAGAAGCGTTAGATCCAACATCCGCGAGTAGATYATTCCGACCCCGACTCGAGCAACAGACGAAAAAGTCATTCTGAGGAAGGAAAAATATTTCCTTCTGTTACCACTTCAGCGATCCTTAAAAKAACTTGCTTTCATATCCTTTAGCTAGCTAAGACTCCTATTCGTCCCAAATCCTTTAATGTTAGCTCAATTTTAGCCAAAAATAAGATGTTTTTTCAGAATGTTTTTACGCCAAGTTGGACTTAGGCGGTGTGTGCGGGTCATAAGCAAGTTTGACCGGATTCTGACCAATCAACTGCCAGCATTTTATCCCCACGTGATTTTCTCGGAATCATCAAAGATGGCCGATGCCGGTRGTGAAGATAAGCTGAGCAAGAAGTAAGAAAAAAAACCTTATTGTTGTACTGATTATTCTATCCTTTTTTCTTGTTTACCACGTCCAATACTTCACTACTTCTYTCTTATTTTCAGTGAGCAAAAGAGACGTCTGAAGGCGGAAAAAAAGGCTAAAGAAAAGGAAGCCAAACAAGTCGCACAGAAGGAAAAGGTTTGGCCATGTGCTTTGGTCTGGATTCTTGGAAGAAAATTTTCAATATTCAACTTATTTTTTGATTTATCTWATCAAGGAACAAAAACCAGGACCTGAAAAACCGAAGAATAAAGAAGAAGATGAAGAAACACTTGATCCAAATGTAAGAAACTATTTAATTTTCACTGACGAATATAATCTTAATGTTTTGAATTTTGGAACTTGAATCCTAAACTTTTTCTTTCGATGCATTTCATTTTCTCGATTGTTCTTAGAAATCTTTTATCGGTGGTTTAAAAACTCAGTGCTAGAATTTAGTAGTTGAGTTTTATGTATTCTATTTTTTTTCTATATGCACGAAATTGAAAGATTTTAAAGCAATATTTAAAAGATGAATGAAATCTTGCATCATCTTTATAGTATTRATTTTTTATTTTAATATTAATCCCGATTTATTAGCATTTATCAAATTCATTGACATTTAGCAAGTTYCTTTTATTAGATTGCTAAGCACTTCTATAAGTCCTATTATTTTATTATTTTATTTTATTTGTATCAAYTCTGATTAAATTTTAAAGATTTTTCTGCAAAAAATGTTGTATCTATTGATTGTATGTTAAATTTTATTGTGACAAAATTTCACTACATCATGCTTTGAGTACGAAAATTCAGAATTACAAGTATTGGAATTTAGCTTAAATCTTTGAATAAACTGCAGTAGACGAGGAAGCATATTTTTTTACATCTGGAAACTAATCTAGCAGGAAGGTCTTTTGGTAAAGAATGCTAAAATTGTGGTTTGACTATCAAATTTAGAAAAACTTTAAACWTRATKGGCAGTTTGACTCGGCATGTTTCGGCATGTTATCATGGTGCAATAACAGTACTAAACTGATGCATTTTACACCTGGAAACTAATCTAGAAGGAAGGACTTTTGGTAAAGAATGCTAAAATTGTGTTTTGACTATCAAATTTTGAAAAAATTTAAACATGATTGGCAGTTTGACACGGCATGTTTTGGCATGTTATCATGGTGCAATAAYAGTACTAAACTGATGCAAYTCACCTTTTCTGTGCTAGCCGTCACATGGTATAAATTGTGTTGGATTGTGTTATGGTCACCAAGAAGTKTGGACATTGTTCAAACAAAAGTTGCAGCTTCCTTGCTCCTTTAAAATTGTAATAATTAATTAGGCAAGCCACTATTAAATAGATAGGAAGCAACAAAGTTGATTCAGAATTCCAATAATGAATGAAATRTCATGGAATTTTATCTTACGTACTGCTTCAAATGCCTGGAATCAATGAATATTACATAAAGCTTATACTATGCCAATATAAAACCAATAAAAAATGGGAATAAATTGCAATCACAATATGATAAWTTACTTTGCCCTTGCTAAGCAGAGTTTAATCAATAAACCCATGGACATAAAAGTACTAATAAACTACCAGAATAAGGAAAATCCTTTGTTTTCTATTTTATAACTATCACTATTTAGCACTTATTACGTAGGTATAACCTTTTCATGTGTTTATTATGAGCAATCTAGGTTTTATATTGAACTCTAAATCTGTAGAATTTGTACATGTAGTTTCTTGGCATAACATAAGTTGGTTTCCAATTTTGACAAGATTATTTATTGCCTTTTTGTAGCAATACTTCAAGATCCGAAGTCAAGCCATAGAGGCTTTAAAGAGTACAGATCAACCACCCTATCCACACAAGTTCCATGTGTCCATATCCCTGACAGAGTTTATAGAGAAATATAATGATGTGGAGAAAGGGACTTGGGTAGATGAAGTTGTTAGTGTATCTGGTAAGTCAAACGGCTTTAAAGATTGGAATTTCCAACTGGTAGGGGGGTGTGCAGGAGGGTCAGGGTTCAAAATAGCTTAATAATTATGGATACAAAGCCTTCACTAAAATGCATCATACTTACAAGAATACACTCAATTGAARAATCRWTGTCRGGTTCAGAAACATAKAACATARAAGCYGAGACCRAAATGGCACATGGGAAAYRACATAATTAYATTRTAATTTATTSATTTGYGCCATCCATGCAGTCGGTTTAKAAWGGCAA